CTGTGTTGTTTTTCATTTCTCTCACCAGCCTGTTGAAATCTACTTTGTTTTCTCTCAGTTTCCACACTTTTGTTCGTGCTGGGTGTTTCCTCTGCCTTATTCTTCGCTGGTAACTTTTTCATGAATGTTCAAAATCATGATGACATGAGAAAGGGTTGCCTGTAGGTTACCTGATAACTCTTGGGGTGCAACACTGGAATTGCATAATGCTGGAAATACACAACTCAGTAGAAATGGCAAGCAGCTTGGGTGTGGGAGCAGAGCATAAGCAGGGTTGATCATCTCCCAGTGGATCTAGAAGACTTTCCCTGAAGCATTTCTCTTGATCTGTGAGTCTCATTGGGCAAGACCCCACCTCACAGGGGAATCTCAGGTGGTTGTCTCTACCTTAAGCCCTGATGATGCTTAACATTTCAAGAAGCCACTGTCCTCCAAAGTTCAAAAAGGACATTGAGTGTTTCCTGGAGTTCACTGGTTATTAAAGATTTATTAATTACATCACCACCACTGGGCCACTGTCATTGAACTCGCTACAAAAGGTAACCCAGACACAGATTAGAGGATGGATCAGTACCCTACTGCTTTCCAGACTATTATAGATCAAGTCTCAGTGTTGCACTGCCCTGACCTTTCTCACCTCTTGAAGATGATGTGTAACTATAATGGTTATAAGCTTAGAGTAATATCTGTATATATAGTACTGTAGCTGGCAAGCATTGTGGTGCAGTGCCTTTTTTTCCATTTCCTTTTTTCCTTCAGTTGGTTTAATTCAGGTTCAGTATATATAGTACACTGCACCACACCTTTAAAGACCTTACACTCCGTACCTGTTGCTACAATTAGCATCTCAGGAACAGCAACAGCGTGTTGTTGATTCCATGTGAATATCATTTTCAGATGTAATAGCAGTTAGTGTGGCCCAAACTTAAAAAGGAGGGAGATTTTCTTTGTTCAACCCTAAGGAGTCTTGAGAGAGAGCTTATTTCGTGTCATTAGTTTATACAAGTGAAAAAAATTGCCAGCTGAGTAGCATTTGGAAAAATGTTTATCTTTTTGTCCTGCAAGTGTTGCAGTACATGAATATAATGATATAGTTATTAATTTCTTTAGATACGCGATTCCATATTATATTCCCTATTAATCAAATTCTAAACGTATGCTTGTTTACTCCGGTATCGAGCGTCTTCGCAGAAAAGCTTAAAACTTTTCTCACAGAGTACTGTATACACATGTTATTTCAAATGTTAGTTAAGACTTGGATGCTTAAAATGTTTAGGGAGCAATGGAATACTGGTGTGTATTTTTTCATTAAAGTACCGAGACCAGCCATATACAGTTTACATAATACTGTATGTTTATGTTCCGAAATTAATATAGTTTATGACCTTCACATGCGTTATGCTCCTATTCTCTTTAAGCTACTAAAATTTCCCTTCAGTGGTAAAATTCCATATAAATATTTAATACTAAAACGTGCACAGTAAAGACATTAAAATCTTTCCACGACCGACCAACGCACCACGAGTGCCCCTGTCGGTCATTTTGGCCAACCAATCGCGTGGTAAGACGCGTTATACGCGTTATGACATTGCCAAATGCCTGCGGTACGTGTTTGTGCCGCGCACTTTGAATGGCTGCATCTGTAGTGAAATCTGTTATGTTTTGTTCATCTGAGGCTAGATTTGTCTAATTATACAAGTTGGTGAGGACCAGACGATTGTTATTTATGCTCTGATATGTAAAACCTTTGAATTTAAAGAGGGTATACTTTCTTTTTCACAAGACTGTAGGTGGTGGGGGGGAGTTCCCTTTACCTGTAAAGGACTTTGAATATCAAGAAAAACACTTTATTCTTATTATTATTAATACTAATAATTATTATATAATTATATAATAATAAAGATATTACTGCTACATATCCCATATCATTGAGAACACCCTTAACTATCCTACTAGATAGTTCAGGTGGGTAGCTGTGTCAGCATGTGTAGGCTGCAAAGGAACAAGTAATAGGTTTATTCCATGCTGAAAAAAAGAAGAAAGAAAAAACTTTTTGACCGTGGAGCCTTCTTCAGGTGTAGTATACTACTAGATACCTGTTGTCCACCATCATTAGACTGCTTAAGCCTAACTGCCCTATTACATAATCTGCCTTTTCCCAACTACAGTTTTTTTTTACTTTCAAGATTGACCACATCTGGCATCACATTCTTTCCACCACATGTTAGTACTATGCCTCCTCCCTGCATGCGTAGTTTTACTGTTTCCCTTCTTTCTCACTTTACCTCAGTTTACCTTAGTAAATTTGCATCATGTATAAAACCCTGAAGATGGCTCCTGAAGAAGGTTCCACGGCTGAAAAGTTGTTTTCTTTCTTCTCTTTTCCGCATGGAATAAATCTATTACTTTTTCCTTTGCAGCCTACGCATGCTGATGAAGCTACCAACCTGAACTACATTATGTATAAAATATACCACTTGTTTATTATTGCATTCCAGCTATTTTATTTAAGTCCTGTTTTTCTGCCCTTTGCCCTGGTTAAAGTCACTAACAATCTTATGGCTTCTGATTCTGGTTCTCTGTCTATCCTTATTCTCCCAGATCACAGTGCTTTTTTGACACTGTAGGACATGAAGGACCTATAAGCAGTTTGAGTTTAACCATGTCACCTTGCTTTTTTGTATTGTAACCTGTGTTTGGAGTTTCTGACTAGAGTTTGGAATTTTCTTTTAAATGATTCAACAGTTTGTCTTTCTTAGGGTTTTCAGTTTTGGAATTAGGTTAATTGAGTGTTATCGAGTTGGGTGTTCCTCAGGGCTCAATAGTGGTCCTCCTACAGCTCCCGTGTTCCCACTTGGTTAGCTATTAAAATTACTTTGTCTGATTTATTATTACTATACTAATGATACCCAGGTCTATGTCCATACTAAACCTGACACTGAAGGTGGTGTCTCTGCATTCTCTAATTGCATCTTTAACATAAACACCCAGATGTCTCAGTTTCCACCATTTAATCTGTGACAAGACTGAAATGTGTTCCTTTATTGTTTTCAATGAAACATTCCCTGTCACCTGCCAGTTATGTAGTCCAGATATCTCCAGTTCAAACCTGGTCTCTGCCATTAACTGGACTGGGATTTCTCTGTGCTGTGCACAGTGAGAAACACCATTCCTCCAGTCAGTACAAATTCACCTGTAAGACTCTATTGAACATGAACAGTGTGTCAAAAGGCAAATACCCAGTTGGGTATGCGAGACAGAACATGAAGTCTTTATCTACCCTGTTCTGTATTTGTGCCTGTTGACAATTTCAAATTACATGTAAAATTAGATAATTCCTGGTTCCAAATCTTAAAAAAAAAAACAGAACAAGCTGCAGTGCTGGAGTGGCTTCTGTTCCCTGTTAGTTTTCTAGAAATAGCAATCAGCAGTTATTATTGGGTTGGTTGATATTAAGTTATTAAATGTTACATTTCTCATTGAAAAAACAAATCACCTTTTTTGATAAGGGAGTAGTCAGACATAATTATAAACAATGTATTTTATTGTTAAATTTCATATCATACACAATTTTCAGTATGCATTGCCTACCAGTGTGTAAAATGGTTATTTTCCAATATTTGTTGTTCACAGGTTCTGGCAGGACATGAAGGACCTATCAGCAGTTTGTGTTTTAACCCTGTACAGTCCATCCTAGCCAGCACCTCCTGGGATAAAACTGTAAAGCTGTGGGACATGTGTGACAGCTGGAAGACTAAAGAAACATTGCAGCTAACCTCTGATGGTAAGGTGGACGGACAAAGAGAACTGGCGTTCAAGAGAACTGTTTATTTAGTTTTTACAGTTGTAAAAGGCATGTCCTTATATTACCTATGTAGGAGGTTTGGGGTTTTAATTTGCAGTAACAATTAGACATTTTAAATTGTGAAAGTACAACTTTTAGGAACCAACCCAACATTATAATTTATAGCCTCACACAGATTCCAGATAAGCAATGTACCAAACATTGATATAAACAAAACATGTATAACAAACAGCATAGTAGATCTGTACCTGTGAAACAATCTGCTGTTTTTTGTTAAGGGATTACAAAGATCAGAATTAATAACTTCAGTTATTATTATAGGTGTGGTGGCTCTGTGGCTGGAAAGTTGCCAGTTTGTTTCCCACGGCCGGCGGAGGAATCCTTGCACCTTAGCAAGGTCCTTAACCCCACCTGCTCCAGGGGCACTGTATAAATGTCTTACCTTGTGCTCTGATCCCAAGCTTCTCTCCCTGTCTGTATGTCTCGTGGAGAGCAAGTTGGTGTATGCGAAAAGACAAATTCCTAATACAAGAAATTGTATATGGCCAATAAAGTGATCTTATCTTAAATACACATAGACTGTAAACCTACAGTCTAGCTTGTAGGTTTTATGAGTCTCATAGAACTAAATCACATTTTTTATATTTTCAGACACAAATAAATATACATTTACTATCATGGACAAAACATCAAAAATGCATGTAGAATAATTGTTCACCTTTCGAATTGTGATGTGAATAACAAAATTTACAGCTCAAAGATCTGTTGTCCAGACGACCTTGGTGAGTTTAAGTTTTGCACTTATAAAAAGAACTCTGTCTACATCCATGGGAGTGGCGTGCACATCGACGATAGTGCACATCGACGATAGACTGGAATGGTCTAAGAACATCGAGGCCATTTACAAGAAGGGTCAGAGCCGACTTTACTTCTTGAAGAGGCTCAGGTCCTTCAATGTGTGTAGTAAGATGCTACATATGTTCTATCAGTCGGTGGTAGCGAGCGCCATTTTCTACGCAGTGGTGTGCTGGGGCTCTGGGATTAGAGCAGTGGATTCTAAAAGGCTGAACAAGCTCATCAGGAGAGCAAGCCTCTGTCATTGGGTCTGACCTGGACCCCTTGGAGGTAGTGGCTGAGAGGAGAATGATGTCCAAACTAGAGGCCATCATGGACAACTTCTGCCATAAGCCACAGTGTAACGAATTATATAAAAATAGTACAATACATACAATACAATACAAGAGTTACTCACAGTATTTACATCCATATCTATATTTCCATCTATATATTCATATATGTGATACGATTTTTCTGTGTACTGTTCTGTTCTAGTTTGTTCTTTGTGTGTCCGGACTGTGAGTAACTCTTGTATTGTATTGTATGTATTGTACTATTATTATATAATTCGTTACAATGTGGCTGTGTTGTGTGTGTTAAGCGGCTGTTGCACTGCAATTTCCCTCATGGGATCAATAAATTATCTATCTATCTATCTATCTTTCTGTAGCAGCTTCTTGGTGCTGGGAGGGTCCTGACATGGGAGAGAGAGAAAGCTTTTTTCTTACTTTTCTTAGCAGATTGTATTGACCTCAGGCAGGTCTTCTAAAGTCAAGTCTTCCCGTTGGATGTTTTGATCTAACCTTGATCTAACATTTAATTTTTGCATATAAATGTAATAATGTGTAAAATATTACACAGGGAGACAGGGAATATAAATGTTCACTGATTCCTATGTCAGATCACAAAGTACAGCAAGTTCATTTAAGTTAATAAGTTCATCTTTTTATAGCAAATTCCTTCTCAAGTGTTCTCAGCCTTTTATTTTCTTTTTTGTAAAATGTTGGTCTTGTTTTTTTGAGTGTGGCCCAGTGATGATTTTCAGCTTAGTAACTTTCAGACTACTGTTCAAGTTGATATTTGGTTGCATATCCTTGAGGCAATAGCTACATGAAATCTGTGATCCACACAGCTCCCCAAAGTTTTTCTAATAAGCTGGTACAGCCCTTTTGGATTGTTGCCTATTTTGGGAGTGTTCTGACTTTTTAGTTTTCTTCAGCATAAACTCATTGTTTGCATTTACCATATTTTGTGAATCACTGTTATGGTGTATGTTGAAATGCTACCTAATATATAGGAGAGGCTTGTATATAAGCAAACTATTTTTCTGTAAACATCTCACTAATGCTGAGTTAGCCAGTTCCAGTACATGAAATTACTTCCACTGTGGTTCATAATTGGCTGATAATTAAAATGATTAGCCAGAAGGGTGATGACATGTTTTATGGAGAGCTGATATCAAGACCAACCTTTACCAAAGTAAAAGTGTAGAGAAAGAAAGGAAACGTCGATGCTCCAAAGAACTGTGAAGCATTTCTTCAGTGTAATTTACAATTTCTCAGTCCTTCATTTTAAGTGTTGTCCTCTAGTTTTCTTCCTTCAAGCATTTAGCCTGTAAATATTCTGCTCCATACTTGTTGCTTATAATAACAGCTATCCAGATGGATCACTACTTCCTTGTTTATTGTAATGTATAACAGGTGTGCTGTAATAATTCATATGATAATAATTCAACAAAAATATTTAATCAGCAGTCTAAAAATAATTTTATTTAAGTAATTTATTCACTTTCCTTCAGTGGGCTGGTGTTCCTTTGCTGCGGGAGTAGTCTTGTGCTCTAGTTCTACCTTGCAACCCGTGTTTCCAGGACAGGGTCTGGCTAGGAAAAATATCACCATGGATGGATTTTCTATTATTTTTATGCCTCAAGGTCAATGTGTACATGAACTTTGTAGGCTTTTGACATTAATTACAGGAATTTTTACCGGAATGTACATATTTGGTATTTAGTATTTAAATTAGCACTGCATAAGAATAAGATCATTTTTGTAACTAGTAACATTGACACTTTTTAGTAAATAAAGTTAGTCAATTAATTGCCGTAGGGGATAATTCGTGTCAGAAATGTCCTGTATAACTGGTGTGGTTCCTATTTGCATGGAGATCTTTGCATCAGATGCTGTTAATGTGAAACATTGTTCAGTAACATTAACTGGATCTAACGATTTTTGAAAATATTTAAAAGTAGTGAGTATTTTTAAGACCTTTTATTTAATTGATTGGACAATGGCCAATGCATTCAGGATATGCATAGAGGAAAATTTCAAGACCTTAATCACTGGGGCTATTTCTTATAAATCTTTTGAATTCAAACAATCGTGAAATAAAAACCTTTCTAGAAGGTTATAATTTAAATTAGTATATTTCTTTTTGCGTTCTCTCCTTTTAAACATTGATATTTGATCAAAGCTGAAAGAGCAGCAGTAAGATTTATCTACTCTTCATCTGTGGACAAAGTTACATATAGTGTGGTTTATTTTACAGTCTTGGTGGCAACATACCGGGCAGATGGGAAAGAGCTGGCAGTGGCAACACTGGATGGTGAGATCACATTTTGGGACCCTCAGAATGCAGTGCAGACTGGTTCCATCAGTGGGAAACATGACCTTCAGATGGGCAGGAATGAAATGGAGAAGATCACTGCCAAGCAGGCAGCCAAGGGCAAGTGAGTCATTAATTCACTGTATAGTTTCTGATATAGCAGAGTACATGAATGAGATTTATAATGTCACTTGAAAAAGACTTGATAAATAAGCTACATTTAACTGAATAGAATACTGTAAAATTCAAGGATGTTAACCTAGAAAATAACAGTTCATAGGAATTTATGGTAAGGCCTTTTTAAAAAGAAACTGATAGCTCTCTTGAGAGCTGAGTATCATGCTGTAATTTGTAAGCAGATTCAAAAGGGTTGTAGACTTGCTTTGCAGTTGTCTTGTCAAAAACGTAAAAATGTCTCCTTCTGCTTGAGGGAGTTGGTAGATGTGGCTGAACTCGTTGTCCATTTGTTTGCATCCTGGCACTGCAATTTCTGTGGGAGCAGAAGAGCAATGGCACAGTGTGTTTCTTTCTCCAGGTCTTTCACTACTCTGTGCTACTCTGCTGATGGCCTCTCCATCCTGGCTGGTGGCCAGTCCAAGTTTGTCTGCATTTACAACATCAAGGAGCAGGTTCTCATGAAGAAGTTTGAAATCTCATTGAATCTTTCCTTGGATGCAATGGAGGTGTGACTTTTTAAATTACTTGCAAGTGAATTCAGTTTGTTTTTTCCAATTATGTTGCAGGACAGTACATCAGGAGCTGGCATTGACTATATACAGTATATCCTTAATGTTTTTTTCTGTTTCGTTCTTCTTTTTCAATATACATCATTTTATTTATTCCTAATGAATAAGGAAAAGAAAATAATGTGTATTTTTACTTTGAGTAGCACAGCTTTTTATTGTACATTACATAATAATGAGTTGTGAGTAATGAGATGAGTTTTACAGTAAATTGTTTAGGTCTCATCATCTGAAAGACAATATCACACCAATACCAAAGGTTTTGCCCTGAAGGACCTTTTCCTTATTTAATTGGAAGCCGTCTAAAGGATAGCCTTAGACGTGCCAATTAGAGTTCCCTGATTCCATAATCAAGCTGAATAACAAAAGTTTTTCTTTTTGTTACACACATTACTATATCATAAATTAATATGTAAATCATAAACTGAGACTGAACACAGTGCTTGTGAGTTTGAACTCTGAAACAAGCTCAGATTACACACTTGTGTTATTCACTTAAAGTGTGTACTACCTGTAATGTCTAGATGACGTAAGCGTTTATTTCCCCTAGAGACCAGAGAATATTTCAGTTTTGTTTCCGTGCTTTGATGTGCAGGAGTACTTGGATCGTCGGACGATGACGGAGTTAGGGAGCTTAGCTGTAGTTGATGAAGCTGAGGGGGAGGCACCTCTCAGACTCCCTGGAATGAGGAAAGGTAGGAATGTTAAATGTGTTCTGCATGTGGTGAAGCACAGAAATGATGAGTTGGACTAATTTTCCTGTGCAGTTTTAGAGGTTGTCATCTGTGTTCAATTTTCAAGAAATTGACAAAGAAGAGGGGCCATACAGCATATCTTGCTGTAATTGTTTGTAGTTGATGATTATTAAAATAATTTGGTCAATTCCTCCAGAAAGTTTCTAGGAAATCTGCTTCAACAACATGGCAGTTTGTTAGGCTGGCATTTGAGTCTGCATTGGCAGTCAAGATCCTCCTATTTAATTGGTCAAACCTCAAGCATGGTGACATGTTTATTTTCTTGTATGAGATGACCTACCATCTGTCACAGTAACCTTGTTGCTTTGTGTGGAAAAACAGTAAAACAAAAATACAGTCTATATTGAAATTTAAAAAAAGAAAGTGATTCCCCTCCTTCCTCTTTCAGGTGAAATGAGCTCTCGACATTTCAAGCCTGAGATTCGTGTCAGCTGCCTTCGCTTCTCTCCCACTGGTAAGTCATTACACTTTTGAGGTATTTCTTCCTCTTACTATACTACTGTATAAGCAGTATATAGGTCAGAGGAAGTTCTAATGATGGTGCTAACAGACTTTCATGGTTCTAGTTAGTTTTGGTTGTTATACAAGAGAAATGTATGTTGATGGAGTTCCTTTTTATTGAAAAGCAAAACGTGTTACATACAGATGCAACATGTAAATGGTAATGTGTGACTTTTTAAGAAACTTTCTGCTAGCTGTGCATGTCAGTACAATTTTTGTAGGAAATTGGGAAGGAAATTGCAAAAGAACTACAGAAGCAGCTTTAGAGAATACATAAAACAGATTAAAAGGACAAATCCTGTATGAAGAGAAAGGAGATGCTGTTTACAGCCCAAATATTCCATTAGGTATCAAGAGGGAACATGGAACTAAAGGAATAGGAACTTCTAAACCAGGGGGCAGAAAGTAATGTCCTATGGCATGAAACTGGAGAGATGACTGTGTCTAAAGGGCACTGTGAGAAAGACAAAGACTGTTCACTGCTGCCTTAGTTAAAGGGAAACTGTAACACTATTTTATATCTCAGTGATGACTGCATTTTAAACCACATTGAAACTACCAAGTGTACATCCTCCACTTAAAATCACAAAAGAGTTGAAGATCAATATTTGCTTAGTGCCACATTGCAGTCATTGTCTGAGATTCAGAACAAGGCAACAAAACTTCAGGTGATGTAAAAGCGGCACTATTACATGATTTAGGCCAGACAAATATTGCTACTACAGTATATCAATTTAAAATATTTTAATGAAACTGACATATACATGTTTTAGATACTTTAGCTAAGTATTGCGCAAAAAAAAAGGAGCAACTAAACAACTAAAATGTACTTTTTGCAAAAGTGCTCCTTAATTTAGATTGGTAACTATTACATTGGTGATTATTTTGTGGTAAATCTCGCCTAAAAGAAAAATTCTAGCAGGACTTTTTTGGAGGACTTGCTGTGCCATAGCCCATGATGTTGCCTGAACAGCTGATTTGAATTAGTACAATCTAATTGAATTCAACATGTCAACTTTGAAATGGTTTTTCTGACAATTACTACTTGTTAACTCAGATCATATTCGACCATTCCAGGGGTGAAATGTCCGCTGCACAAAATATACTTATTCAGTTGTATATCTTGCTGAAGCTGGTTGAGAAAATTTTCGATGGGACCAACATTGGAGTGCTCCTGTTTATTACCAATCTCCAGGCTAGTTGAATATCCTTTGGAAAAAGAAACAGACTGACTTTGCTAATCCAATTGTCTGTTTTGTGTGTGACCACTATATTCCGAACAGCCAAATGCACAGCAGTGATGCAATGCATCCAGTTTAGTACTTAATTTGTGGTTTGTAAAATTTTGTGATACATTCAATTAATTATTTTGTTACTGAGATTTAATCATTAGTTTAAGAATTTGGGACTGCAGTTCCCCTTTAAGCCTGGAGTCAACTTGCTAATTCTAGAATTGAATGTAGATGTGTCATATGTTCCCAAATCAAGAAAATTGGAAAAGTGAAAGAGATGCCAGATGTCCCTGCAGCTTGGGAGAAAAAAAGGTGAAGAGCGAGTCTGTTAGTTTCCTGACACAGATGGAAAAAGAGTAGGAGAGGTTTTGGTTCCCTAACACAGAAGAATAATAACATCACATCACTTTATTAACCCTTTACAATTTCTTGCATTAGAATTTTGTCTTTTTGCATACCCCAGCTTGCTCCCTGGAGCAGTTGGGGTTAAGGGCCTTGCTCAGGGGCCCAATGGAGTAGGATTCCTCTGCCGGCTGCGGGATTTGAACCGGCAACCTTCCAGCCACAGGTGCAGATCCTTAGCCACAGACCCACTGCTCCACCCCAAGAATTGGGGAGGCTATATGACCAAACCCTTGAAGAAGACAGGAAGAGGTTGCCTGTACGTAAACAGAAATAGACTAGTCTGAGGGAAAAAATGAGGTGTTGCTGCTACAGCAGGATAGCAAACTTAAATTAATCAAACTTTTATCAAGCGAATCCCCAATTGGCATTATTAATGTCGGTCACTCTTTTTTAATATAGTTTATCACTAATACTCTTTTCAAAAATGCTCAACTTTGTGTAGTGGTCTCCTATTAGTACCCAAAAGTATCCTCATCCGTGAAAGACATCTTTATCTCTGAGGTGCACATGAATTTCAACATCTATTCCTGAGAGTTGATTCACCCCTCAAGTTTTTATTTTACATATTAATTTGGTTCAGGTGGGTAGCTGCGTCAGCATGCGTAGGCAGGTTCTTGACACCTGAAGAAGGCTCCACGGCTGAAACGTTGTGTTTTCTTTTCTTCTTTTTTTCAGCATTGAATAAACCTATTACTTGTTCCTATATTAATTTGGTGCCTGAGTAACTAAGTGATGGACAAAGTTTGTGAGACCAAAGCCTTTTCAACTCAGTTCAGACAAAAAGAGGTGTCCACTGCTCAAAATAATAATACACTTCAGGGAAAGAAAATCAAAAAGTAAAAAATATAGTTAAGTTACATGATTTGCTTTAAGTATCCAATGAAGAAAACCTAGATAAAATGGTTACTGTAATAAAACAAATCTCAAACCAAAAGAAAGCAAACAAATGATAATTGGAATTACTGATCTTTACAAATAATTAAATGCAAACCAGCAGAACACTCTGAAATTATAAGACATTTTGAAATTAAGTCATATCAGAAATAGTATGTGACTCAAAGTTAAAATGTAGTATAGAAAACTACGAGCAAAAACATATGTAAGGACAGATACCATTGCCAAAAATGCTAAAACTTTACAAAATTGCGAAAACTGAATGATCATGAACATGTTTAAGAACCCAAACATACGATAGCATTGAGGATGATCTGTGTAAATTCAGTTCAAGACTGTTCTTTTTATTAAAATAGATGATTTTAGTGTGCATTGAAATTTATAGATTAGTTTTATACAAAGATTAAAAGCTGTACCAGAAAATAAAAAGAGCCTCCATCTCACATTTGCATAATGCTCAAGCTATTTCCTGACCCTGATTTGCTTTGACAATATAAGATTGTGTTTATTTTATGTTGTTTAAATGTGCTAGGAATTTATTTTCTGTTACTAAAGATATGTATGGCTGTTTTCTACACAGGACGCAGCTGGGCAGCAACTTCCACTGAAGGTCTGCTGATCTACTCTCTGGACAGTGCAATGGTGTTTGATCCCTTTGACCTGGATATAGATGTCACTCCAAGTAGTGTTCGCCAGCAGCTGAGCTTGCATTCTTACATGACCGCCATTGTATTGGCCTTCCGCCTCAATGAGAGGAAACTCACCCTGGAAGTCCTGGAGGCTGTCCCCCATAACGAGAGTAAAACAATATTTTTGTAAAGTTATTTAACACAGTGTTCAGAAACAAACTGAGGAAATACAGGCATGCAATACATTACTTCTTGAAATTTGAAATAAAGCAGCAGAATGGATGTTTGGTTCAGTCTCCATTCCATAAGAATCTGGAGAGTCGTGGTATCTGAAATTGGGTGTGTAGCTGTTGTAGCCCAGAACTGGACTCCAGGTTTTTATTGTGAATAAGTTTGTGCTGAACATTGTAAATTTGATTAAAAATATTCTATTATTTTATCCTGTTTTCATTATTTGCAAGTACAAATAATGTAATAATGAACAGTAGTTTCTCACACTTATTCATGCCAGCAGTTATATCACCCTGTAACTCGGGTGTTGCTCATGGAGTCTTCTTGATCCAGCTACTCGTCAGCAGCACCCTGCAACTCGCAACTGCCACTCACTAAAGCTTAGCAGGTGTTAGCATTTGTGGCTAGTATCTTGATGGGAGATCTCCTGGGAAAAACTAAGGTTGTTGCTGGAAGAGGTGTTAGTGGGGCCAGCGGAGGGCACTTTTCCTGTGGTTGTGTCTCCTAATGTCCTAGTATAATGACAGGGACAATATACTGTAAAAAGGCACCTGCCTTTGATATGATATAAAACTGAGGTCCTGACTCTCTGTGGTTATTAAAAATTCCAGGGCATTTCTCAAAAAGAGTAAGGATGTTAAATCCTGGTCAAATTTCCCATTGGCCTTTACCAATCATGGCTTCCAAATAATCCCCATGTATGAATGGTCTTCATTACTCTGCTCTCCTCCCCACTGATAGCTGACGTGTGGTTACCTGTACCCATTACCTGTAAAGAACTTTAAGTGGAGTGTCCAGAAAAGTCCTATATAGGGACAAATATTATTGTTGATTATATTTGAATTTAAAATGGTTTGACAAAATTCCACATCGCAAAAATCACAAGTGTTTTTATCAATTTTTAAACTTGATATGTATACAGGTCCAAGGAATGCCATATTTAGCCATATATAGCTTTAAACTTTAATTCCAATCCTCTGTATAGGATTAGTGATTACTCTCTTCTGACTATTCATTGGTACTCTCTCTTTGCTTGCCAGTCAGTGTGGTGTGCAACTCACTACCCGGTGTATATGTAGAGAAGCTGATGCATTTTGTGGCCACTGCCTTGGAAAACTCACGCCATCTGCAGTTTTTCTTAACCTGGGCTGAGTGTCTCCTTTCTTTCCATGGACAGAACCTGAAGACCAGGTCAGTCACTGCTTTTCATTTACTCGGCTGTGTAAAGGTTTTAGTTAGGAGTTACGATATACTAGTCCATGAAAAACTGTTCACCCCCTTTCAGATTTTCTGAATTTTTACACATTGCAACATCGAGTGTTATTAGAGCTTTATGTGGGTCTGGGAGAATAAGTGAAAAAATAATATTAAAGTTGGTGCTTGTTTCATTTATTTCATTGACAAAGTAATTCTGCATCCATTATCCCTGTGTTAATAAGGAAGTGCCCCAATCAATCAATCCAGTTAAAAGAATAACTAGAGCTAGCTGTGTGAACACTTTATTTGGGCTAATTTGGCCTGCCCTGTTCTCTATAAAACTCACAAACTTTGGCTTTGTCTGCTCAAAAGACATTTTTGAAGATATCTGAAAAAAGTAATTGATGCCTGTCAATCTGAAGAAGGTTATAGAATCATTTCTAAAGTTCTGGGGCTTTAGTCGCAATCATAATCTTGAAGTGGAAACAATAGTGAATCTTCCTGAGAGTGGCTATCCTCTAAAATAACTCCAAGAGTAGAGCGCAAAATTATCCGGGGAGTCCCAAAGAAACCCAGTTGTGACAGTTATGTCCCTTATTTCAGGAAGATCTTTTCTACACCTCATTTCATGAATATTTATTGTATCTTGATTGGTACTGAGATATATCATAGTATACAGATGTACTGTTTAGATTAAAGATTAAAACTAGAGCATCTCACTTAGAAGTAATGCAAGTAATGCTAGTGAAGCTTCCTAATGGTGCTCTGACAAAAATGTAATTTATGTCCATATTTTATTTTCAAAATATTAAAGGGAGTCTCTAAAATGCTTTTTTTATGTACTTTAAAGAATGTTATTATTATATGTAGTTTGTTTATATGGTTGGGTGTTTAGCTAACTGACAGAAAATCATAACGCCATCTTATAGCACATGCAGGCATTCCATTTTATTTCTTCAGAAGAAGGTGTGTGGAGTGAAACCACTGTGACACAGCTGAAGCATAGGCCTGTCAAACTGTTAGCATGATACGAGCACAATGTCATTAATACTTAGACTACTCTTAAGAGTATGGTAGAAATATCACGGTGTCTGAAGATCTAGTTATTGATAAAATTATACCAGCAAGTTAAACTATTAAATGTTTTGTCCTGTCTAGTTTTAATAGTTTTAAGTAACTCGTGCATTAATTCCCCAATGGATTATTGCAAATTCGGTATTGGCAGGAGCCTCTACTGAATGCTTTTATAATATTGCTTTGAAGCTGTAAAAAACTACAATTTAAAAATTTTACTCTACAATAGGCATTTAATATAAAAGTACACAATTAACAATGCCAAAATATGAAGACTGATTGAATGTCTGTGTATGAGATTATTACTAACCCTTTATTGCACAGTTATTTTTTGTATATTATATTTGACCTTACTGGGGATCAATACACTTTTGCAGCAATGCCTGGTGCTTTTTGACAGAATCTTATCGGATGTGTTAATTTTGTTTCTTAGATATACATTTTATTAAACATTTATTATACAAATAAATTAAACTGATTGACTAAAATGACTAAAACTAATTGTTTTAGTCTAATAAAAGTAAGTCTTGTATTAATAATTTAGTTGACAAGACTAACGTATAAGTGGGTGACTATAACTAAAAGGCATTTTAGTTGACATGGCTAAGGCTATGACTTCATCAAAAACTGGTGACACTGTACACAGCTATGTGAGGGATTGTCACCTGTTACAGGAAGTGTTTGGTTACAGTGATTGCAGGATGACTTTATGAGATAAATGAAACAAGCACCAGTGTGTTACCAAAAAAGAATTGCTGCCAAAGGGGTTCTCACCAAGTATTAACTCTAAGCCTTTTCTGCTTATGATATTTTAGTTTTGAATTTTTAATATATATTTTTCTCAAAAAAAGTTTTTCCCCTTAAAAGACTGGAACATGGTTTGTAGCTAAGTGAAAAGGTCATCATTTAAATATATGAAACTCTCCAAAGAAATTTGAAATTTTTTTTATGGCACTGTACCTATATGTTTTATGTCTAGATTGCCCTTTTCTGAATTGTTAGAAGATAAAATAATAAAACATTAAAAATATATTAACATTTAAAAATAAACCATTAACATTTTAAAGCTTAAATTGTTACTCAAGAGTAGAGATAATTTATCCTTCAGTCCTACATCGATGTAAGAACTTGGTTTGTTGATGGAACCAACACACTCTTTTCTGTTGTTAAATTGTTTTTACTCTACTATTTAATTGTTGTATATAAATTCTAACTTACCTCTGCCACTGGACTAGTGCTGGAAAAGGGAGGTATTAGGCATACAAGGGCAGAAACGGGTATTAGATTACTACAATGTAAGATAAATAGTGATCCAAGGTAAGTGCTCTTTCTTAGCTCAAACCAGGGAGATTTTGAATATTGTGTTTTGGTGGCCATAATAACTTGGCCACGTCATGTTAACTCCATTGCAGTTTATAAGTTAACTTTTTTTACACGCACTTCTTTAAAGGCTGTATGTAAGTCTGCCAAATTTTAAATCCGAAATCTATGATTAATTCAGAAATCTAGAATTATCTAAATAGCTAATCGGTAAAACGAGTATTTAACAAATGCAGTTTTAAATTGGTGCATGCCATTTGCACCGTGGCTTCACATGCCGACGAAATTTAACTGTGATTAAAACATAATTCTAAAATGTTTTGATATGTTTTATATTTATATATTTTACTGAAGTTTTACTTAGCATTTTTATTTTAGTCCATGTTATATAAGAATTTTAAAAATAGAGATATTAGAGATTTGAGATAAAGTAATGAAAAATCTAAAAAAAGCAGTGAATGCATTAGCAGATGCTGCAAGAATCCTATATTTGGTCATAAATTATGCTGACAATACAAAGGTATTGTTAAGTTTATAATTGTTATATTAGTACCCTTAAGATATGATCGTTTGGACCTTTTGGGATACAAATCATTTAGTATGTTTTTCTTGCTTTTCTGGTAGAATAACTTGTCAATGAAAAATTTAATCCATTCTCAGATCAGGATCAATATTGCCAGTAATTCAGTCCCTACAGAGGAGTATTCAGATGCACTTTGAGGACCTGTCCAAACTGTGAGTATTTTTAATCATCAAGGTTTGTTTAGAGCAGCACAGTTGTTCAGTAGCTAGCATAACTGCTATGCATCCCTGAGGCAATGGGTTCAATTCAGTACCTGGGGTGCATCTACAGTGGTGCTATAAAGTTTGTGAACCCTTTAGAATTTTCTGAATTTCTGCATAAATTTGACCTAAAATGTGATCTTCATCTAAGTCATAAAGTAGAGATCTCAATAAAACAAAACACACAGAATGATAGACTTTTTCATGAATTTATTGATCAAAATGATTCAACATTAAATGTCTTTGGTGGAAAAGGTATATGAACCTCTAGGATTATCAATTCAGTTAAGAGGATATAGAGTCCGGAGTGACTCTCCTCATCTCTCCCCAATAGGAAGGGATGACAATCAGGTGTGAGTTTGGGTAGCCCTGCCCTATTTAAAAAACATAAACCTGTGTCTTCACTACCAAAGTCTGGTCTTCAACACACAGGTTTGAATGCCATGTCTCGATCAAAAGAGATTTCTGAGGACCTCAGAAAAAGAGTTGTTGATGCTCATCAGGCTGGAAAAGGTTACAAAACTATCTCTAAAGGCTTTGGACTTCACCAGTCCACTGTCAGGCAGATAGTGTACAAATGGAGAAAATTCAACACCATTGTTATTCACTCCAGGAGTGGTCATCCAACAAAAATCACTCCAAGAGCAAGGTGTATAATATTCTGGAAGATCACAAAGAACCAGGGTAAAGCCTAAGGATGTGCAGTCCTCTCTTACACTGGCTAATGTCAGTGTTCATGAGTCCACCATCAGGCAAACACTGAACAAGAATAGTGTACATGGGAGGATAGAAAGGAGGAAGCCGCTACTCTCCAAGAAGAACATTGCTGCCTGTTTACAGTTTGCTAAAGAACACCTGGTTGAGCCAGAAGACTACTGGTAGATTGTTCTGTGGACGGATGAGTCGAAAACAGAACTTTTTGACTTAAATGAGAAACGTTATGTTTGGCGAAAACCAAACACTACATTCCAACATAAGAACCTCATCCCAACAGTGAAACACGGTGGTGGCAGTATCATGGTTTGGGGCTGTTTTGCTACAACGGGACCAGGATGGCTTGCCATCATTGGCGGAAGTATGAATTCTGGATGGTACCAGCAAATTGTACAGGAGAATGTCAGGGTATCCATCCATGAACTGAAGCTCAACAGAAGGTGGGTCTTGCAGCAAGAGAACGACCCTAAACACATAAATCAGAATACCAAAGAATGGTTGAAGCAGAAGAAATTTCGCGTTTTAGAATGTCTGAGTCAAAATCCAGACCTTAATCCAATAGAAATGTTGTGGCAAGACATGAAGCAGGGAGTTCATGCAAGAAAGCCCACGAAAATCACTGAGTTGAAGCAATTCTGTAAGGAGGAATGGGCCAAAATTCCTCCAAGCTGATATGCCAGCAATGATGTAGTCATTCTTGTTCAAGGGGGTCACACCAGTTAGTGAAAGCAAAGTTTCACATACTTATTCCGACAAAGACATTTAATGTTGGATCATTTTGGTCAATAAATGAATGAAAAAGTATATCCTTTTGTGTGTTTTTTGATTGGGTTCTCTTTATTTTTATGATTTAGATGAAGATCTGATCACATTTTAGGTCAAATTTATGCAGAAATTCAGAAAATACTGAAGTTTTCACAAACTTTCTAGCACCACTGTACATGGAGTTTGTATGTTCTTCCCATGTTCTTGTGGGTTCCTTCCGGGTGTCCAGTTTCCACCTACAGTCCAAAGAACACTTAATTGTCTTCTGGGAAAATTGGCCTTCATGTGAGCGAGTGAGTTATATGTGTGTATGCTTAGATGGACTAGCATTGCATGTGGTACAAGGTAATTTAAAAATTCCCTAATTTTTAAATTTGATTACATTTGTCTTCTTCTTGTTTCCTAAAATTGAAACATTTTCTGCAGTTCTTAATAGTTTGTTAGTTATATATGTCATTATCACATTACTTCGGCAGAAGTTGCAGACCATGGATCCACCTTGACAAATTCTGCTTAACCTTAAGCAGACTTCACACGTCACAGGTTTTGAAATCTAGAGTCAAATATGGCAAATTTCCCAATCACTTTTGTGCTTTTTTGCCAGAATCAGTTCTGGGCAAAGACCTTACAAAACCTCCATCCAGTTATCCCTAGGACAATACTAGTCACATGCGACATTCATGTGTTACACAATCTGGTTGTTTACCATAGTGTAAAAAAGTATTTTTTCTCTAAATCCTCTTTTACTTCTTTTTTCAACTTCGCAGCTGTGACTGGAATCAGTATAATATCAAGTATGCTTTGGCTCTATCAAAGCAGCGTGGCATCAAGAGGCTGGCTTCAGAGTCCATCAATGAAGATGATGGGTCAGAGGGATTAGAATCAGTAAGAGACCAATCTTTTGAAGAGGCTGACATAGATATGTAAGAATTGAGTTATTGATTATACATATACAATACCAATATACCAACTGGCACACATTTTAATCTTTGCTTTTTGGTAAACTGGGATGTACACCATTTTTTGTGTAGAGTGCTTTGTGTGTATGTATACAGAATAGACAGGAGATCTTGGAGCAGAAGGTACCCCCTGTAAAAGATTCACAGAAGAGTTTCAGCTGAAGCACCAGAATTTGTATAACACTGACATTTTGACAGTTCATCTTATGCTGAAGAATTATGTTGTTTTAGAGAATTTATTAAATGTTTTAATGCTAATGTTTGAACTGAAATTAAAACAATTATACAACCCTTACACACTTGTAATCTTTCTCATACTGATATTTTCCGTCTCTAAGCACTTCCACTTCAGTCCAACTGAAGTCTGTGTACCGACGTCTGGGGTTTAAGTCTTGTGAAGACTCACTATGATCTTCTATAAAAATTCCAAATATCTCTTATGGTGATATACAGACCAATATACCAATTTGTTGTCTGTGGGTGGGAGGACTTCGTGACTTCAGTGATTTACATCTTCCTGCATATTTACAGCACACAATATGAGTGTACTGTAAAAACTGTGCTATGAGTGTACAGTAAAAATTGAAGGATTTCAAAAGCAAACGTAAAAAAACAAAATGCAACAAATAATGCTAAAACCATATGTTTTATATCAGCCCTTGTATTTTAATTACAAATGTGACTTTCTAAGTAAAATGTTGTTTAAAATCAGTCTTCTTCCACTGTGATCTTATGCACACATGTATTCCATTAACTTTAATTTACATTATCCTCTGAAGCCAAAGTGCTGTATATATTCAAGAAAATATACAGATCCAGATCCAAAATATATACTGCAGTAGTTTACAGTAAAGCAGCTGCGCGAGACTACAGGAGACTGCTGCATTTTAGAAATTTTCAGTTTTGTGAGTGCGCTACTTTGTAAAACCGCCAGGTGGAGGTGTGAAAGCTGAGCGTGGCGTATGGAGCATTTGGGCTGTCACCAGAAAACGCTAGTTTTTTTCCAATTATAGAATTTAAATTGTACAAGGTTTAGACCTTTATTCATTTTAAACTGTCATTATACTGGAGCTTGTGAACGTGATGTGCCTCTTTCACGTTTAGATCCACATAGAGAAAATACAAAGGTAAATAACAGTACTGTAATGTAATACATATCTAATGTACACACAGTAGATGGTAGTGGAAGCTATAGATGCAGCCATTCAAAATGCTCGAGGGACTCTATGGTAAATCGCAGTGCACGTACCGAAAGGAACCGCATAATACTGCATGTTTTTTATAAATAAGGTGAAATACCGTGTAAAACCGGCAAGTGGATATGGTAAACATGGGCTGCCGCCAGAAACCACCTGGTTTGAATCCCAGTCAATGCTGAGGGACGATCTTTTTCCAATTACAAAATTTATGTTCTATACTGTTTAATAATTTTGAACTTTGTATTACAACATGTTAAACATTTAACTGATTAAAAAGTAGGTATATTTTATAAAAGCAAGATTGCTCAGTTGGACAAAAGTACACAACCTTCTTCATAATTATGATTTAATTTTTTAACTTGGTAACTCAGAGTGGGTTGTCTGGCAACTAACGGAGTGCTTGTTCTAACATTATAAAGCTCATATGCTGTACTATGCTGTAAAAATACAAGTTGTACTGATTTAATACCACTTAATAGTAATATTTATATGGAATCGTGTAACTAAGCAGTTAATTATCAGTGTATCAATGTATAATAAGTGGACATTTTGGAAACATTTTGACATTCGACATTTAAAAAAAAAAACTTTTATTGTCCTTATAGTAGTCTTGGGCAATGGACTGTAATGTAGCTGGCTGTACCCAGGCAGTTCAAAGCCCGATCAGAGAATTACTTTGTTTGTTTCTTACATAGACAAATACATAAAAATAGTCCATTATAGCTTGTTGTTGGCTCTGTGTGTGTGCATGTATCTCAATGAATTATTAAAAGTGATGGTTTCATTATTAATTCTTTAAGTTAAACAAAGGAGGGAAGAAGAGTTATTTTTAATAACAGCTTATCAGAGAACAGCTTATCAATATGTTGAAACCATACCATGACAGTGAAGACAGACGTGTTACATCTCGACCCACTGTTTACTACACTATGTTTTGATGGTGTTGTGTGGCTCTGTGGGAATTATTCTGTAAACTGAAGATTTATAGAGCAGACACGTTGTGTATCACCTCTTATATTTGTAAAAATGTTCCAATTTAAATGCAATACAGAAATAATAATAAATGACCATGGATGAATTGTAAACTGAAGAGTTAGAGAGACACGCTTATCTTATCTTTTTAGCTTGGAATTTAACCTTTAGAGTGATCCTTTTAGCAATTTTTTTTACATAGCCGGATGAGTAAAAATAGATTGGATTAAGAAAAATATTTCACACAGACTTTGAAACCATACAGCTTTTGAACGGCGGGGATTGGTGGGTGGCGGCGGTATTTTGATTTTCCTGCGCGAACTGTATTTGCTACAGTACTATTAATGAGTCCCTGAGGCATGTCGTACAAGTTTTTGAATTATAAAAAATAAACCTTTGTTGAGTTAGCAGAAGAGACAAATGGTATCTTTTGAGAAGTCGTGCATTGCTTGCAAATTTTGATTATTTTGCCAAACAGCTTATTTTGGTTGAAGAATTTAAAATCTGTACTGTGGCTTTATTTAATTGTGCAGAAAGTCACCTTGCTCATACAAGTGGCTCTGTTAAGCAGAGTTAGTTCTAACACACCGCACCCTTTAAAATTAGTTTTTAATCACTTTTGTCTGTTCAGGGTGGGGTGAGGAGTGGTGGGGGACTGGGCAGATTGATGGAGAGTAAAATAAGACTACCAGCATTTTTGCTTTCCGCTGGTGTGAGGATAATGCGCTGATGGGCACCGACCCTCCCACCCAGGTTCATTCAGAACATCTTTGAGATGGTCTGGAGGTTGATTTGTTATTACATTATTCACATTCAGATTAATATTTTATATGTACAATGATCAGAAATGTGAATGTAGTAATGCATAGTATTTTATTGTGAGAGAATCCTAACTATATTCATCATTGCATTAAGAATTACAGCAGATATTTCACACCTGAATTTTTTTTTAACTGGGAGTGTGAAAATTGAGTGAGAACTGGAGGCCCACAGTGAGATTAACTGAGATGGATAATTTTAGTAAATATGTTGACAAATATCTGTTTTGTTTTTTTTGCTTTCACCCAGCACTGAATCAGCTATGTGATGTTGCCACCGTAATGTTTTTGAGAAAGGAGTTTAGTGGGTGGGCAGCATTATTCACAGTGTAGTGCCCATAGAGTGTAGTTTACTATAACAGTAGTATAACAGTGTATTACTATGATCTTACATGTATGTTTTTTTAAATGTTTGTAATCGCATATTCTTGCAAATACATTTTTTATTGTTATTCAGTTTGTGTCTGCGTGATAGATGGTGGTAGTTCAAGGTAAAATTGTTCCACAAGGAGGATACCTTTAAGGCAAAGAAGACGGCACCAAAATATTTCAGCTCAGTATGTTGCTTAAGCCATTTTAGTCTTTGGCTTACTTCTTTAGTAGTCTAAAATTACTTATAGAGGTGAGAAGACGCCTCCCCCTTCCCCTACCCCTTCCCTTTACCTACCTGACTTGTTCCCATTTTTAATCACTCTGTGTCCGAATCGGAGCTGGTGAGAGAGAGTAGGAAGAGACACTGACAGAAAAAAGTGAATCCTGGCTTAATTTCAAATTATATTTTACTTTCATGTTTTTTTACTTTATAAGTTTGTATTTTACTTATTTTCTGATAGTCAGCGTAACGTATATTTGAACAAAGTCTTGTAAATGGTAATAATTTTACAAGATCTCGAAGCAGTGCAACAATTTATTACAGTGCAAATTTTAATATTATTGATTACTAATAATAGTTAATTAATTAACTATTAATAGGTTATGCTAACACCCGACTTTATTTAGATGTATATCTAAATAAGATATTTATTTGTATAGGTGAAATTTTCTAAAATTTATTAAAAAATCTAAAACGATTAAACTCCACGTGTAGTGTCATTATTATTACAATAAGCACGTATCAAATATAAAACTAATTGGTGAGAAAGCTGTGTTAAATGATAGTGTTTGAAAAACTTCAAAGAAATAATTTACATTCTATTATTAAATTTTAAAGGCAGACATGCCCAGTGCCATAAGCACTCTCAAGCTGCAGAACGGTCTTTAATGTATTACTAAACCTCTCAGTGCCACCTTTTCTCTGACAGAGCTCAGCGGGTGGTGTGCTGTTTCCACGGTGACCTGCTGATTGCTTCACACCACAAGAAGAGTGGAGAATTAATGTGATTTTATCTGTACGATATGCGTGTTGTGTTTAAAAAATCAAAGTGTTTAAAATGTTTAATTAAAAAGTAAAAAAAAATGATCACGAGGAAGAACAATCACCTGTTTTTTACGCATAAATTGTTAACTATCTAAACCCGTTTTTTTCCATGGATTTGTCCATGCAATGTCTAATTTAGGCGTTAACAAGCCGTTGTTTCTTATTATTCATTTTCTTTAAAATTAAAAGAATCAGTTTCCCAGTTTGAGAGTCTTCAGAAAGCTTTGATGAATAAAAATGTAGAATAATGCTAAATAGTTTTACACCTGGGCTCCGCTTTATTCAAACAAAGGTTTGTAAAACTGCAACTAGGTTCTAGATAGTTTAAATAAAAGCTGTGAAAGTTTTCACAAATTGCAATCTTTAAAAAGCCTGTGGTTTGAAGGCTCTGTCATTTGTTAGTTGAGTTATTGACATCTGAAGCATCCTGTCTCAAAAATAGGAGTTGTAATAAGAAGCAAAGGTTGTAAAAACAGCTAAAAATGACCCTGAACAAATTACAAACAGTTTGAAATTAATAATTTAATATTTTTAATAGTAATCAGATACATTATATTTTGGTTTCAGTGGTGTTTTTAATATTGCTTTGTTATTCTCGATTATAATTGTAATATATACTCTTTCGTTTTAAGACTTGTTGTAATGGCTTGTCTTGAATTGCCCCACTGGGATGCAGTAATTTTTAATTTAATTTAATTAAACCGGTTGAGCTTGAATGGCTACATCTGTAAGTAAATTATTGTTGAAGTGTAGGATCTATCTGCATGACAGGCAGCAGTAATTCTGCCCTAGAAGTCTCATTACACAGCACATCAGGTACAGGAGAAAAATTGCTACACAAATTAAATTACTGATTATCTTTATGCCAGATTGTACAATCCTAGATGAC